ACAGACCACACACACACAGACCAGCACACCAGCACACACCACGACATACACCACACAACTCAGACACACCGACACACAGACACAACACACAGAACACACGTACACACGTACACACGTACACACACACCACACACACGTACACACACACACAGACACACACACACAGACACACACACACAGACACACCACACACAGACACACACACACAGACCAACACACACAGACACACACACACAGACACACACACACAGACACAACAGACACACAGATACACACAGACACACAGATACACACACAGACACACACACAGACACACGCACACGTACACGCACACGGAACACACACACGGACACACACACAGACACACACAGACACAGACACACACAGACACAGACACACACACACAGACACACACACACAGACACACACACACACAGACACACACACACACAGACACACACAGACAAACGTACATACACACATACACAAAGATCCCCGTATAGCCTGAACAGACTGTAGGGGCAAGTGCTGTTAGCGAGCACCTATGAAGGCCGGAACGGTACACGAGGGGGTGGGTGGCCAGCACCACGCCCGACCGCCTTTGTCTCCCTAGTGGCGATGTTTACTACACACCGCACCAGGTACTCATTTAAGGCTGAGTCGACCTAGGGGAGGCCCAGGACCGGTTCAGATAATCGTCACTGGTGTTAGCCGTGAGCGGGAATCGAACCCGGGTCGCCAGGTTCATAGCGCAGCGCGCTAACCGCTACACTACCGCTCCCCACACACACTCACACACACACACACACGTACACACACACACAGGGCACCTTTGTCTGTGTGTGTGTAGTGCTGACAGCACTTGCCCCGACAGTGTTGAAGGCTACACGGGACACCTTTGTCTGTGTGTCTATAGACACTGCTGCTACTGACAGCACTTGCCCCTAGTCTGCTCGAGGCTACACGGGACACCTTTGCCTGTGTGTCTATCGGCACTGCTGCGGACAGCACTTGCCCCTAGTCTGCTAGAGGCTACACGGGGGACCTTTGCCTGTGTCTGTGTGTGTAGTGCTGACAGCACTTGCCCCTAGTCTGCCAGAGGCTACACGGGGGACCTTTGTCTGTGTCTGTGTGTATAGTGCTGACAGCACTTGCCCCGACAGTCTGAAGGCTACACGGGGGACCTTTGGCTGTGTCTATAGACACTGCTGCTGACAGCACTTGCCCCTAGTCTGCTAGAGGCTACACGGGGGACCTTTGTCTGTGTCTGTGTGTGTAGTGCTGACAGCACTTGCCCCTAGTCTGCCGGAGGCTACACGGGGGACCTTTGCCTGTGTCTGTGTGTGTAGTGCTGACAGCACTTGCCCCTAGTCTGCCGGAGGCTACACGGGGGACCTTTGCCTGTGTCTGTGTGTGTAGTGCTGACAGCACTTGCCCCTAGTCTGCCAGAGGCTACACGGGGGACCTTTGTCTGTGTCTGTGTGTGTAGTGCTGACAGCACTTGCCCCTAGTCTGCCGGAGGCTACACGGGGGACCTTTGCCTGTGTCTGTGTGTGTAGTGCTGACAGCACTTGCCCCTAGTCTGCCGGAGGCTACACGGGGGACCTTTGCCTGTGTCTGTGTGTGTAGTGCTGACAGCACTTGCCCCTAGTCTGCCAGAGGCTACACGGGGGACCTTTGCCTGTGTCTGTGTGTGTAGTGCTGACAGCACTTGCCCCTAGTCTGCCAGAGGCTACACGGGGGACCTTTGTCTGTGTGTGTAGTGCTGACAGCACTTGCCCCTAGTCTGCCAGAGGCTACACGGGGGACCTTTGTCTGTGTCTTTGTGTGTAGTGCTGACAGCACTTGCCCCTAGTCTGCCGGAGGCTACACGGGGGACCTTTGCCTGTGTCTGTGTGTGTAGTGCTGACAGCACTTGCCCCTAGTCTGCCAGAGGCTACACGGGGGACCTTTGCCTGTGTCTGTGTGTGTAGTGCTGACAGCACTTGCCCCTAGTCTGCCGGAGGCTACACGGGGGACCTTTGCCTGTGTCTGTGTGTGTAGTGCTGACAGCACTTGCCCCTAGTCTGCCAGAGGCTACACGGGGGACCTTTGCCTGTGTCTGTGTGTGTAGTGCTGACAGCACTTGCCCCTAGTCTGCCAGAGGCTACACGGGGGACCTTTGCCTGTGTGTGTGTGTGTAGTGCTGACAGCACTTGCCCCTAGTCTGCCAGAGGCTACACGGGGGACCTTTGCCTGTGTCTGTGTGCCGCGTGCGTCAGGGACAAGTGGAGTCGGATGTCGTCCGAGGAGCGAGAGGAGAGCAGCCGCTTCAGCAGCAACGTCGTGTTCGGGCAGCTCTCGTGAGAACAACAACAACAACAACTATAACAACAACAACAACTATAACAACAACAACAACCACAACAACCACAACAACAACACTCACACAAACACTCGCCGCTTCAGCAGCAACGTCATGTTCGGGCAGCTCTCGTGAGAACAACAACAACAACAACCACAACCACAACAACAACTATAACAACAACAACAACCACAACAACCACAACAACAACACTCACACAAACACTCGCCGCTTCAGCAGCAACGTCATGTTCGGGCAGCTCTCGTGAGAACAACAACAACAACAACAACTATAACAACAACAACAACCACAACAACCACAACAACAACACTCACACAAACACTCGCCGCTTCAGCAGCAACGTCATGTTCGGGCAGCTCTCGTGAGAACAACAACAACAACAACTATAACAACAACAACAACCACAACAACCACAACAACAACACTCACACAAACACTCGCCGCTTCAGCAGCAACGTCATGTTCGGGCAGCTCTCGTGAGAACAACAACAACAACAACTATAACAACAGCAACAACCACAACAACCACAACAACAACACTCACACAAACACTCGCCGCTTCAGCAGCAACGTCGTGTTCGGGCAGCTCTCGTGAGAACAACAACAACAACAACTATAACAACAACAACAACCACAACAACCACAACAACAACACTCACACAAACACTCGCCGCTTCAGCAGCAACGTCATGTTCGGGCAGCTCTCGTGAGAACAACAACAACAACAACTATAACAACAACAACAACCACAACAACCACAACAACAACACTCACACAAACACTCGCCGCTTCAGCAGCAACGTCATGTTCGGGCAGCTCTCGTGAGAACAACAACAACAACAACTATAACAACAACAACAACCACAACAACCACAACAACAACACTCACACAAACACTCGCCGCTTCAGCAGCAACGTCATGCTCGGGCAGCTCTCGTGAGAACAACAACAACAACAACTATAACAACAACAACAACCACAACAACCACAACAACAACACTCACACAAACACTCGCCGCTTCAGCAGCAACGTCATGTTCGGGCAGCTCTCGTGAGAACAACAACAACAACAACTATAACAACAACAACAACCACAACAACCACAACAACAACACTCACACAAACACTCGCCGCTTCAGCAGCAACGTCATGTTCGGGCAGCTCTCGTGAGAACAACAACAACAACAACAACAACCACAACAACAACAACAACCACAACAACAACACTCACACAAACACTCGCCGCTTCAGCAGCAACGTCATGTTCGGGCAGCTCTCGTGAGCACAACAACAACAACCACAACCACAACAACAATAACAACAACAACAACCACAACAACCACAACAACAACACTCACACAAACACTCGCCGCTTCAGCAGCAACGTCATGTTCGGGCAGCTCTCGTGAGAACAACAACAACAACAACTATAACAACAACAACAACCACAACAACCACAACAACAACACTCACACAAACACTCGCCGCTTCAGCAGCAACGTCATGTTCGGGCAGCTCTCGTGAGAACAACAACAACAACAACTATAACAACAACAACCACAACAACCACAACAACAACACTCACACAAACACTCGCCGCTTCAGCAGCAACGTCATGTTCGGGCAGCTCTCGTGAGAACAACAACAACAACAACTATAACAACAACAACAACCACAAACAACCACAACAACAACACTCACACAAACACTCGCCGCTTCAGCAGCAACGTCATGTTCGGGCAGCTCTCGTGAGAACAACAACAACAACAACTATAACAACAACAACAACCACAACAACCACAACAACAACACTCACACAAACACTCGCCGCTTCAGCAGCAACGTCATGTTCGGGCAGCTCTCGTGAGAACAACAACAACAACAACTATAACAACAACAACAACCACAACAACCACAACAACAACACTCACACAAACACTCGCCGCTTCAGCAGCAACGTCATGTTCGGGCAGCTCTCGTGAGAACAACAACAACAACAACTATAACAACAACAACAACCACAACAACCACAACAACAACACTCACACAAACACTCGCCGCTTCAGCAGCAACGTCATGTTCGGGCAGCTCTCGTGAGAACAACAACAACAACAACAACAACCACAACAACAACAACAACCACAACAACAACACTCACACAAACACTCGCCGCTTCAGCAGCAACGTCATGTTCGGGCAGCTCTCGTGAGCACAACAACAACAACAACCACAACCACAACAACAATAACAACAACAACAACCACAACAACCACAACAACAACACTCACACAAACACTCGCCGCTTCAGCAGCAACGTCATGTTCGGGCAGCTCTCGTGAGAACAACAACAACAACAACTATAACAACAACAACAACCACAACAACCACAACAACAACACTCACACAAACACTCGCCGCTTCAGCAGCAACGTCATGTTCGGGCAGCTCTCGTGAGAACAACAACAACAACAACTATAACAACAACAACCACAACAACCACAACAACAACACTCACACAAACACTCGCCGCTTCAGCAGCAACGTCATGTTCGGGCAGCTCTCGTGAGAACAACAACAACAACAACTATAACAACAACAACAACCACAACAACCACAACAACAACACTCACACAAACACTCGCCGCTTCAGCAGCAACGTCATGTTCGGGCAGCTCTCGTGAGCACAACAACAACAACTATAACAACAACAACAACCACAACACTCACACAAACACTCACCACTCACACAAACACTCACCACAACAACACTCACAATAACAATAACACTCACAACAACAACACTCACAACAACAACAACAACCACAACATGCACAACAACAACAACCACAACAACAACCACAACAACAACAACAACACTCACACAAACACTCGCCACTTCAGCAAGAACTTCGTGTTCGGGCAGCTCTCGTAAGCACCACAACAACAACACTCACAACAACAACAACAACCACAACAACAACAACACTCACAACAACAACCAAACAACAACCACAACAACACTCACAACAACCACAACAACAACACACACCACAACACAACACGCACAACAACCACAACAACAACACTCACAACAACAACAACAACACTCACAACCACAACAACAACAACAAACACAACAACAACAACCACAACAACAACAACACTCACAACAACAACAACCATCACAACAACAACAACAACACTCACAACAACAACACTCACACAAACACTCGTCGCTTCAGCAAGAACGTCGTGTTCGGGCAGCTCTCGTGAGAACAACAACTACAACAACAACAACACAACAACACAACAAGAACCACAA